CATACAAAATTTGCGTTTTTTTTTTTGTTAATTTTCATACATTTCGACTAAACGGAGAAAGTTATACATATATTACTTATCTAAAAAATTACTAGTTGGGGATAACGATTAGAGTGTATTAAATAATGCCATTCAAATTGTTTATTTAACAAGTATATTTTTTATATATGGCCAAACATTATTTTTTATTTCTATGGACAGTAAAGGGATAGCAGACTGTAATCTGTAGAAACACTCCCGCGTCTTTCTCCTCGTCAGTCCTTAAAGTCGTTTTAGGGGAAAACAAGACATTTATAAACACCCACCACGAGATTAGATTTGTTAAGATAATGAGGCGCCTGGTTTAGCGAAGATTCTCCACCATGCCTACAACTATCATCCTGAAGAGCCTGCAACCGCCGTCTCTCCTTAATCTCGGATATGACCTCGCACGGGGAGACGGTTAGACCATTGCAGGATGCAGACAGATTTGCGGGAAAATACATGTGCTCACGAGCCTTCCTAACGAATTCGCCGAGGTGATAACTCGTCATCATTACGAGCGTTGCAGACGTTACTCGTAGAAATACATTGCAATGCGCTACCAACATTTAGAGCCTACGTTTGCTAAATGTAAAACTCTTGCTTTCTTATTTTTTTTTGTTTAGCTTAGAAATTTTTCAAGTATTGCAGAATGAAAACGTGTCTGCCGAATTGAAGAAATTAAAAAGCTTTGATTGTACCTAGATCAACGTGTATATTCGTAATCGTATTATATCATTCGATGCTCCGGGCAAATCGAATTTTGTTTCCAAGCTCCGCGCAAATAGGGTGACGGGGCGACTCGAGAGCGTGAGGATAAAGCAAGAGCTCGCCAAGTCTATGGCCCTTGAGAGAAATGTCGAACCACGGTCGATCAGAATTTATCCTTACTACGATACAAGCAGCCGTATCCGGCGTCGCGTTATTTCGGCATCGGTGAAAAAAACATAATAAAATTTAACGGTCCGTCAGACTGCGGCATTCCCGCTCCCGGAGCAGCCAATAAATACGGGGAACAAGGCGGCTACAAATCTCAAGATAAACAGGAGCCCGTATTTTTCTACCCCCTTGACTTCCGCCGCGCTCTTCGCGCTTTCTCCGAGCCCGAGTGGAAAAGGGGTCTGCACTGCCCTTTTTACATTCCTCGTATGAATTATTAGGTGGCCGGACTTAAGGGGTGGACATACCGCGGTATTTAATTTTCGCTCCCCATTAAAACAGGACGAATTTTTCCCTAATCGCATCCCTGACGATGAAAGTGCGGTCGGCAGTTTGTCACCGACCCTTCGTTCTATTATCAATGTATCACCGCGCCTCACCTCGGCGAGTCGTACATTAATTTAGAGAGTTCGGCTTTTCGACGTGATTGCTTATCGAGTAGGAACATTTTCGGTTGCGCGTATTAACGAGGCGAGGGATCCTCGATGTCGGCAAGACGAGTACATCGGCGTAGGCGACGCCAATTAAGGAGGATGGCGAGGTTGCGAGCATCGAGATACAGCCAAGGTCTAGCGACTGTCGATGATGTATGTGGTGGAAAATACTGGAGGCAATCTGTCACACCATCGACGTCCCACAGGCGCCTCTACTCCCCTCCTTCGCCAGTCCCCTTCGCTCCTTTTTCTCGCAAACTCGCGAATGAATATCATACTACTTACAAATAACATAAGTAATTCTTCATTTACCATAGAAAAAGAAATAATGCTCTCGGTATTTTAATACTGATAGCCAATTACTAGTTAATTTAACTTTTATTTCAAATAATCTCGTTTAATATCTGAAAAATGTATATCTGATAACTTAATCGAATAATATTCATCTTCACCATGGTGAGACTCGTACAAGATTTGAGCAAATATCGCGTATAAATGAACTGTCCTGTAAGCAGGGTCTTTTTGAACATTTCTAAAGGCACCTGGCGTCTCTCTTTTCTCGATACACGCACGCGGGATATATGCCTCTCTCGCAGTCTTTTTCTTCCAGCTTCTTCCGGGTATATAGCTGATTAAACGTGCAACTATATAACGCAACGCAAATATACTGGCCCCGGGCTCGCCCCGGCTTTCCTTTTTTGGCGCTTCTCATCCCCGACGGCAGCCCGGAGTCGTCCCGTTCTCGATTCCACCTTTCGACTCTCTTTGAATTCCAACCCCGGTCACTTGACGGAAATATTTATCGAGGGTCTCCGGCGGGGCTCTTCCCCTCCCTCGGTGCCCTACTGCTTCGAGCTAGACAGGACGACGACAGGGCGAGACGCGCGGTTCCACGTAGTTCACCCCGATACCTTTCGTCGAAGTTCCCTCCCCGACTATCGCGTTCGTTCTCACTCTCGTGAGTTCTTTGATCCATTTTACGGAGTTTGTTCGGTACGGATTATTTACTCTCTTAATTACATTTCGATTCTATCTCCTCTCGTCTCCTCAGCGTTCATTCGTCGTACGACTGAATGACTGATTGTCAGTTCGGCCGTGCCTGCTCTTGAATGCGCTGACATGCTCGAGCTATGTAAATTCCGCATCACATTATGTCTTTATTGCAATCTACTTTAGCAGATATATAATAGATACACAGTCTCTCTTATTTTCATTGCGTATAAAAGTCAGTTAAAAAATTGGCATATTTTCTGCCGAACGAAGCTTTGCAAACATGAATAGATATAACACTCCTATCTGACGTTCCATGGCTGATATCCATATTTTTGTAATACACAAACATGCGAGTGCACAAAAAGTATATTGTATTAATTTTGGGTTTTTTATTTCGACAAAATGGTGACATTTTTATATTCCTCGCTCTTCTCTCATCCTTTCTGAGAGCGCCAGGACCTGATTTACATTTCTTTCTTTCGTCGACATAAAAATTCCACGGCGATAACTTCCTTTGTTCCACCCTCCGTGGTCGCGGGAACGACCGACCCCTGCGGCTCAAGAACTGCAGGGGGTGCCGTCGTAACCGCGTCTAGTTTCTCGTTCATATTACATTTTTTTCTTAATTAAAGGCAATACACACCTCTTGCTGGCGGATACGAATTATCTCTTGTCGGCCACGAGAAACTGAGATTTGCAACACTGGCAAAATAATATTTATCTGCCAATTTATGTGCAAACGAGATTGTATATTAAGTATTAACTGTAACGTGTAATTTAATGTATAATATACTATTCTGCTTACATATAAAATGAAGCCCAACACATGAACAAAATAATAAAAATAGTAATGCACTTTAATATTCTAAAATTACTTCTATTATCACAAGCTCGCACGCATGTTGAATATATTCATTGTATATAGATTTATAAAAAAAGCTTTCGATATTATTTTAATATCCAACTTATTTCTATACACACAACGTGTATTATGTATAAGACAGAATAAAAATAATCGAAATAAAAATTTATATATTATTAAATGATACAATAATGGAATTATTCGATGGATTTTTCATTATAACGAAAGAAACAATGTACTTTTATCGACGCTGTTGTTGTCGATTAAATAATTTTTTCTCAGATATATATTCGGAGAAACGGAAACATATCACACGATCTGCCTGCGCATTAATTAATATTCAAACGCGAACGAATAAGAATTTATTAGACTCGAGCATCCTTCTATGCGACGTTATGCGGACGTAAAGTTCAGGGATCGGTATAAAATGCCAATTGTCCAAGCAGCTTGATCGCTTTTTAAGTTGGACGATAATTACCATTATATTTTCGCGGAAGTTTTCGCAATCGTGCTCGAGAATTGCGTCGGAAGCATCGAGAACGACGATCGAGCGAACCGTAACCGCGCGACGTTTCGCAACTTTATACGTTCCTGATAATCTCTCGGAGAGCTCCCGGACGGTTATTCGCGGTGGTCGTCGGGATTTATGAAATGGCAATAAAATTTATATGACTCGCTGGATCGTTAGGGGTGCGGCTCGCTCGTTCAGATTGATGTCGGTTGCGCCGCGAGTCTGGTCCACTTGCCCGGGGCTACGTTTGTTTCTCCCTGCGATCGTCCACGCTCATTATTAATCCCTGGGAAATCGCGACAGTCATTTTATAATCACCGTGTAAAATAAAAAAGGGCTATATTTTCTATCGAATATTTCGTCAGTTCTGAATTTCGTACATAAAATGTAGACAACAATCTGTGCTGCGCATTGTATCTTTTTCCTTTATTTGATTCGTCCCGTGGACCCATTTGCATTTTTCTCATATGAATATTTTATATGTATTACTTCCAATTATATGTTTGGTTGATTCGAGTTTTTATTTATTAAACTGAATATTTAATCAAGTTATTTAATATACGTATATGCAGGTTACGTGCGCGAAAAAGGTTTATATATTCAAATATGCTCAAACAACAAATATATAAACGTAAAATCAATGAAAGAAAATTGATTATTTTGAAATGTACGCGCAAGTCTACAGTTTTACAAAATTGTAATATATAATTTTATGTCCAGTTCAAGGTAGCATCAGATATTAATAGACAGATTAGATTGACGATTACGACAATGTTGTGTATAAAGTATCGAGAACGAAAAATTTAGTTATCATTAATACGTTATATTTTATTTTAATCGTCCATAAACGTGACCGAAAGAGTTTACGACGTGTCTTCCGCATAATCTTGCTTGCCCGTCGTTTGATCTCGAGCGGAGAGGAGCAAAAAAAAAGGTGCTCCTGATAACTCACTTATGCAGTGAATCACGCGTGTGCTCTGCCGAGCATGATGCCTCGAGGACATGTCTGCTCTACCTGTTGCTCAATTCCCCATCGACGGTAGCAAGTATCGCGCGAAGAATTCGACGGCCTCTCCTTCTCCGTGTTTTCTCCCACCTATTGCGACGTGGAAGAATTCGCAAGCCGCTGAAGCAACTGCTACATGCATTTTCAGGGAGCGAAGCAACTTCCGTACGCGTCAAGAAGCTGACGGGTAATCGTAACGTTACGAATAACCGTGTTACGTTCGTTTTGTTGCAGGTGGACGATCGAGTCAGATCACCGGGAACATCACGATGCCTGACCGCTACTACCATGTCGCTTTCCATCTCGCCCTCTAGCCCCGAAGAACCTGTTACGCTGTAAGTAATACATATGTATAACAAATTTCAGAACTGTCTGCTATGTGGTGCTTCAGATGTTGTTATCAAGATGGACGCTATCAAACATCTCCGTGATATCTATCTCTGTTGGAATAGCTCTGATTCCCTGCTGCCTGCAAATAAAAAATTAGAATTGGATATAAACTTAACGAAAGATCCTAAAATACACTACAATTTGTGTGATAAAAAGATATCAGGTATAATTTGTTAAAAGAACAAATATAGATTCACTTCTCTATACTGTCTAAGAAGATTAAAAGTCGCGATAAATGAGGCGAGATCGAGATCCTTGTAGCTTCCTTTCCGCGGTCCAAAAAGCCACTCAGGCAAATTAGTCCTGCGATACAGCGATGGTGTTCTCGTATGGTGCTACGCCGCCTGTTATCGGGTGTTTCTTCTCTCTTACTGTCGCCAGCTTGGCTTTGCAGAGTACCGGCATAGATGGTAGGGGCCACGCAGAAAACGTACGGGGGGAGAGAGAGAGAGAGAGAGAGGTGATATTTATGCCAGTTTTTTATTGCGCTTTAGCCCGAGAGAGCAGAATGGAAACAATATGTCACCCCGGTAGGGAAAGTAGGGTGGTAGCGAGATGGGAGAAGGTGGAGGCTGTGCGAACTTCTTGTAGGTGGCCCGACCGGCGGTACCTAACGTTAATACTAACGCCTCCGCCGCACTAACGCCCTCCAACCGACGTCATGATTTTAAATGAACAACCCCGGTTTCTCCCTTTTAGCCCGAAAACACGGGCAAACGGCGGGATTGCTGCCGCGCATTTCGCGGTACCGCGTATTAAGCGATTTTTGAATTTGTCCGCATTGTGCTTTTATTTCCATATCTCGAAATAGTCAGCGTAATTGATTGGTGCTGCGTACACAATTGAAAATGAATGTTTTTTTCCTATAAAAAAATGCCTACGTACATATAAATAATTGTAAGCTTCGGGTGGAGTGAGTCAAAATATAGATTGTCTCGTTTGCATAACATGAAACGATTTTAGCTTCATATAATAGTTGAGAAAATAAGATACCATTTATTGCCTAGTTTGATAATTGCACTTTTCTGTACGTAGATTATTTGAAAGGTTTTTGGCGAACGATTAAAGGACTCAGGTTTCTTCTGAGAAACCTTCGGAGAAATTTCATCGCGCAAACGCATACCGGAGACGCGCAGGTATCGGGTTACGAAGCGAGAAGATGAATTTGTGCAGAAAGAAGAGATTTCGCGTGCACTCTCCGAGTAAACACATAGACCCAACTATATAAATAAATCTCCGGTAATCTCGCGGTAAGACCGAAATATTCGAGGTCGGACAATTTCCGGCGGTTCTGCTTATCGTTTTGGAAGCGCGCGGAAAAGAAAAGGAAAGAAAGAAACGAAACGGGGGAAGCAGGGAGGACTCGTTATTCGGGGTCTCAAGAGTCATCGGATAAGTGCATATCGATTTCTCCCTATTGGCGAGGGTCGGGCCGTCGGTAAGATCGAGGCGAATGGGAAAAAAAGAAGGCGGTAAAAAGGGCAAAGGCTATAAGTAACGGACCGTCTGGTGGAAAGCGCTCGAGGGCGAACAGTGATTTAGAGAAATTAAAACTTTAATTCATGTTCGGGTTCATGGGAGGGAGAGGGGGGAGGGGGGTTGTGTCCTCTACCTCCTGTCTTCTCTCCCTCCCTGCTCAACCGCTGCTCCACCCTGTGGCATTCTCTGTCCCCGTCGATCGACCGAAATCCCGCTCCGCGCGTAAATTGGCAAACCCAACTAGTGCACGTTTTACTTTGCTATTCTCTCGCGGGTCTTCTGCATTTTCATATAAATACTAATCCTGTATTACGCAACATATCACAAAGCGATATATTTACTGGAGAACACCTGAGCACGCGGTAGTGAAAATAAATTATTTTGTTCATAATTCGTTGTTAAAGTAATTCCTCGATGAAGGTTAAATCATGACAGAAATCATTCAATGTTTAGAATGATACGGTTGGCAGTCTGAAAACTATGAAAGAATGTCCTGAATAATGGAATAGAAACGTTATTCAGCACATGTAATAGCTGCTTGTTTATCAACCGCGAGTAAAATTGGATGATTTATAACAAGAGGTCGAGCGAGCAAGTGCTTCAGAGTCGGTCATCCGTGTCTAGACACGATTATTATCATTCTGATTTAAGTTGCACATGTATTTTGCAGCATAATAATGCCAGACAGGCCTGTATGGCCGACATTTGCACAAGAGGCGAATAAAAATTCAATAATGCTGAATTAAGGAACGCTATGTATACTCCGCCGCTTATATTCTCAAAGCATTTTCTCCCCGAACTGGATATAAATTATCCATAAGCTCTCTCCTATAGATATTTTTCCGAAAATTTATCGGTATTCCCATTTGCTAACTTTATAACGTCAACGTGGTCAAGGAAAGCCATTGCTATGAATATAATTTATAAGAATCGTGTTCCCTCGATCTTTCGTTATCGATTCAAGCAGGGCATTTTTTAATATAATTTTCAAAACCTTTATTGTACTTTTGTTTAATTAATTAAATACTATTCAATTAAAGTTCCGATAAAGTGTTGATTATACACAGTCATAATTTTGTCACGAACGAACGTGCGATATTTAATACTGTTACTTATAATCGCGAAGAGTTGTAAAAAGCCACAAACTCTCGTGCACAAAAGCGTTGTGATAAATCTGCATTTCGGAAGACGTCCTTACAAACTTTTATGAGCCATGCATGATACGGAATATGAGGAAAGGATGTATCTTCCTTTATCACCCTTTATCTTCCTTTCCCTTGGCCCGCTGTCCCTCTCGCGGTTTCTCTCCTTGTCCGTCCTTCTTCCGCACACTTCTTCTCACTCGCTGCCTCTGCGCATCGCGCTTTGGCTTTTAGGGCAACCTCCGCCTCCAATAAATTCCCATCACCGGCTCCCAGGTACGCCTTCGCCGAGTAAATCATACCGTAAGTGAATCTGAATTGAATGCAATGAGTAAATATGGCTCTCATATAACGAAAGGCAACCACGAGTGTCTGCCAGAAACCATGACGACCGATTTCTAATCCAGGAGACCGCTTTATTTGCCGTACTGTATTGCAATTGCAATTTAAATTTATTCTCGACGTCTTACGCGCGCATTTCGTCCCGCCGACGCCACACCCGAGGAAATTCAAGCTCTTTGCGCGTCTCTATTTCGACTGCATTATTTTTCTTTGCCGTGCGAAGCGACTATGGCCGATTTACGCGTGTTTTCCACGTAGTTTCCGCCCGCATGTATGCGTGAACGCGAGTCAAGGAGCAGCCAGTGGAAATGCATAAATACATGAGTCGCGGGGCAACGAGGGAGACAAGCTTGGCCCGCATATGTAGCGAGCGACTCGTAACCTCGTAATAACGTGTGGATAGCGGCTCTCTCGTCGTGAAAATATGGCCCTTCAAAAGCCTGTAGTTTTCCCTCGAAAACGGGCGCGGTTTCGCTCGCTGTCGAAAAAGAGCCAGACGACACATGAGAAATGACAATCTTATTCCACAACTTCCTGTCACTAACTCCGTTTCGCTCGACGATTCTGTTTATCGTGCAACTTCCCTTGTTACCGTGCCGTAATGATTTTTTGGTCACGTACATTTATCACTTCTAGAAATACCATTTACTAGTTTTATTTTGAAACTCTTACAACATTGTAATTTAATTTACCGTTCAACATCTTATAAATGTACGTAA